TAGTTACATTAAATTTTTATGGGATATTTTTTTTAGATATTGTTTTTTAATTTGTACTCATTTTTCTACACACTTTGATTGAACATACGATAATAAAGATAGATTTTCCATAAAATCTATAGTTTAAATAAAAATAACTAGCTAGAATTAACCATTTGAAATTTTAAAAATTATATGTATGAAGTTATTCGTAGACTTATAAATTCTTACGCATCATAAATATAATTTATCATGATTCTAAAAAAAAAGTAAATTACCTAACTTATATGGCAAAATATAATCAAAACCTTACATTACAAATACTTAGCTCAAAATACAATTTGATGTACAAAATATTATACATCCAACATACAACAATATACAAAACTCTCATATTTTATTTTTACAAAAAAAAAATAAAAAAAAGTTTTAACCCTTGATATACAATATTATCCAGTTAATAAATAATATTATACAAAATTAAACAAACATTTGTTCATTCATATACAATATTATTCTAAAAATGAACTCGTAATTCTCACTTGAATTCAAATACCAGATTCCCTTGAAAACACCTCAAAACTTACATCAAACACCCAAAAATTCAAATTTAAACTCCTCAATGCCTAATCAATCAAAACTCTCTCAAAACAAAGCTTCTTTATTTTTTTGCGAAAAATTAAATTTTGAAGTGTTCGATACAGTAATGATCGTCTATGAAGTTACCGTACAAATTGGAAACTTCTAAAAGTCTAAAAGTTTTTAAAAATTCAGATATATTTAACTCTTAAATTCTCCACCGACTTAGAAAACGAATAAGCATCGACGAATTTTAGATGAAATTTGGAAGTACACCATTGATATTGTTGTTGGTTGTTGAGTAGATAAATATGTTATGGTCACTTGACTACAGTACAACCTAAAATGTGAATTTGTGGTATAAATTGTTATGTAGTGCAATGCTATGTGGGTTGGGGTAGCATTGATCAGTGCTACTCTTTGATAATATCAAATCACAGGATACCAATTTCATTAGTAAAAAATAAAATAATTGCTGTCTTTGAGTTGCTAGGATAATAAATAAAAAAATAAATTTCAATTTATATAGAAATTGTGTCAAATTAAATAAGAAAATAAAACCTTGATCAACTTTAATAGGATTATGCACAATGCTAGTTAGTTTTTCCATTTCCTTAAACTAAATAAAGGACAAATATTTATAATATTTATCAGTTTTTTCTATAGTTTAAAATAATTGCATATCGTTTTCATGCCAAATTTCAAATCAGATACATGTATTTCTGCTATCAGATAAATTAAAAGGGAGAGAGGCGAGAGAAGTGAGCGAGGTCTACTAATACATACAAATCACACTAGATATATGTATCTAAGCTTCCAGATAAGAGAGTTAGATACATGTGAATTTGCTTGGATACAATGTATCTAGAATAAATTACACCTAGTTTTGACCCCATGATATCCGAGATACATGTATTTTGACGTATTTAAACACGCCAAATGCATATATCCAAAGTTAGAATTATGATAAGACTCGTAATATTATAATTCACAAACTAACATAAATTTAAGTAATTAACTTCAACTACTTGGTTTTTTGTAATTACCCTAAACTAAAACTTATACTAATATTTTAGGCTTTGTATACTTTTACTACTTTTTACTTTAGTAGGAAGTCAGCCCACAACCAATATAAAGGTATTAAGGAAGGAACAGAAGAAATGAAAAAAGTGCACAATAGCCTAATTTAAGGCCCATTATAGAATCGGATTCTGGTGACCAATAAAGTCGTATCTAATCTTCCAAATAACTTGAGAAAACTTCTTTAGATTCAATTTTGAAACTTTTTTTCTTTTTAAAAAAATATTTTTTTTCTTTTTAGAAGTTACCTACTTTTAATTAGATAATTTCAATAAATTACTGTAATTCAGGCTCATAGAAAGATAAAAACAAGAGAACAAATTAGAATATAGAGTCGTCAATATGGATTAAGTTTGTTGGGTTGGTCTGGTCTAATATATAATTTAACTAGATCAGACTAAATTATTTTGAGTTTATTCAAGAAAAATGTCTTTTAGCTCGATCCAGATTAGCATGTTGATTTATAGGACTTGAGCAATATGAGTTGGGCCGGCCTATACTCAAAGTTTATTCAAAAGTTATATTAAAATTTAGAATCGTCAAATGTGACTTAGCATTATGAATGTGTTCTCACCAAGTATAAAAGTTGTGTCTATTATGAAAATATTCAAACACTTGTTTCTACTCGAAATTGGTTCCATGGTATATACACACACATTATTGTGAAAATTGAAAAATAATTAGATTATTATTTTTATTTAGATAGTTATATTTTTATTTGATGTCAAACTTAATAAGTATTACACTCCCTGTCCCAATTTATGTGACTTATTTTCCTTTTTAGTCAGTTTCAAAATGAATTATACATTTCTATATTAAGTAATAATTTATCTATAAAATATATATTTTACCCTTAATGAAATGATTTACGACCACACAAAATTCTATCATTTATTTTGGATTGCAGGTTCTAAAAGTCTTCTTTTCTTTTTAAAATTCCGTGCCGAATCAAACTACCTCACATAAAATGAGAAGGATGGAGTATAAAGATTATTTATTTGTGATTTTTTCGTTAGCAAGTAGTATCCTAACGCCATGTAATATTATCTTGTCAATATTTATGTTAACATTTTAAAATAATAATCGAATCTAAAAAAATTAATTAAAAAAATAATTTTTTTAAAAATAGGCTGACTCGCCACAGTCTGTAGCTCACATACAGATGGATTAGGTTAGTTGTTTTCTGGCCCACAAAGAAATGAGACAATCCAACTCGATCCATCAAATTTCAAAGCTTGTATAAGCTATTTCGTATGGAATGAGTTAGCCATATTGATAGCTCTAATACAAATACTGAAAAGATTTTGCTTTGACTATATATCTTAATTGTAAACTTGTTATAGCATATAAATAGATGTGATACAAGATATATATACCAGAAGAAATAAGAATATGTCATCTCTATATATATAATTGTTGAAAAATAAGATATAAATATTTTTTTCCATAACAAAATATATGTATTTATAAACTTAAAAATAAATACTATAAATCACGGATTATACTATTAAAACATAATTTACCTTTGGAAAAATAAAAGAAGTTCAACTCTTATTGGTCTTGAGATGAATGAAATGTTGCTTTCAGTATTTGCCTATTTTTACCAGATTTTTGTTAGGTTACGAAGCACCGTGAACATTATGGTGACACGTCACCATACAATAACACAAAAATATAGAATAAATTTAGATATATCGCTCAATGTTAAAGTATAGTTCAAAAGTACTTGTGTTTTATGCTCTTTTTGTTTCTTCTAATTATTCTTTTGTCAATTTTAAATTTTAACTCTTGTATTTAAATTACTTGATTTTAAAAATATTACATACTCGATACAATCTTATCAGTTATCATATAAGATTTTGAAAGGATAAAATATATATAAATTTTATTTTGAAATAGCGAGGTTAAGATAAAACTTACTTTGATAAAGCAATAATTATTATTTTTTTAACTAATAGTATCAAGTTCATAATCATGCCCTCATCTCACCAACCATCATTATGAACTACCACATTGTCAACTTAGAGAATGATGTATTTTGTATGTATTATTGCTTCCCATCATTCTCAAATGGAATTTTAGAAAGCATGTTACTTCGTCTTTTTAATTTACACAATTTTATTTTCTCCACTAACATAGAATTTTATTATTTGATGTCATCACTATTGTTATTGATAAGGATGGTAGTCAAATTAATTGATTCACTTATATAATGCTTTAATGCCATTAATTCTTCCACCAATTAGTAATCAATAGCTTTACCTAAAGTAGCGGCGTAACTTGAATTATTCCCTACATTTTGCCAATCTTTTTATGGTACTCTTCTCATCTTCCGATTTCAATTAGTGTCGTGTTTTTTCTTATACGTCTTTTAATAAATAAATAAAAATAATTAATCTTTTTATCATTTAAATAATTTTTTCTTTCATATTATTTTTGTTGAGAGTTATAAAAAGAGAAAATGTACAAGTACTCCTTAGGCCTCAACCTATGCTCGATATTCAGAGATACACTTATACTATATTAAGATCTTATTATATCCGAACTTCTTTTATAAGTAATTTTTTATTTTTTTCGATCTACGTGACACTAACTTAAAAAAAAATCAATTAATATTGAGCTTATAAGATAGAGTCACGTAAATCGAGAAAGAATGAAAAATTACTAATAAAATAAGTTCAAGGGAGTAATAGGACTTTAACATAATAAAAATATATTTCTGAAATTTCAAACATAAATTAAGGGAGATTTTGAACATAGATTAAGAAGTACTTATGCATTATCTCTAATAAAAAATTAACTTCTTAATAACAAACTTTTTTTACATACACATCATTTTTATCATTCTTGATTATTTGTGAAACTATACTTGATATGTCATTATTGTTATTATTATTATTATAAGACTCACTCATTACTAAATTATGATGTTCATACACTTGAAGATAATAACTTACTAAGAATAAATTGAGAAAGAAATAATCAGTATACGGTGGTTAAAGTGTCCAATCGAATATTTCTTATCAAAATAAAATATTATATTCTAATAAAATAATATACAAAATGATTACACAACATATTTTAGACACTTTACCTCGACAAATTATTGCAATCTAAAAACTAATAATCCAATAATTTTATACAATCCGTTCACCCAATAGCCCTAATTAATATATTACTTAAGAAATATTTAATTAAAATAATTTTTATTTATAATATTTTTGAAAGTTCTAATGGGCTATTGTCGTTTTAATGGGAGTAAGAAGAATAGCATGAGAAAACTTCCATTTTACTGAAACAAATACGTAATACGAAATAGAGGGATACATAAACAGCATGTTTATGATGGTAGGTGGTAAATCTTATCGTAAAATTAATCGAGATACGTATGAGCTAATCGAAGAGGTGACAAAATCATTTGGAGCAACATAGCGTTACAATTTACAACAAATTTTTTTCCGGTCTGCAAGATTCACCATCATTTTTTTTTGTAAAATTAAGTAACAGAATCTCAAAAGGAAGAAGATGAATACTCATGATTCGTTGACTAATTACCGTTTACATTAATCTCAGGTCCAATTTTAGCAGCAGCACGAGTACCTAATTTTCCCTGAGCAATTATCATAGACTTGTAGATCTCCACCAGCATTTTCTCATCGTACTCCTTAACTCGCCGCATCCCAAATCCGTCGATTCCGCCGCCGTACTCGCCGCCGAATCCTCGAGTATTCGCAACCCTCAGCATCGCGTTCACATAAGCATCACGCAGTCCAATAAGAAGCTTCTTCAGCGAAAATCGTTTGAAATTGATTTTCAGCTTCAATTTGGGGGTTAACTTTATCTTCCAGAACTTTCGTTTTCGGGTCGAACCTTCTGTTGATAAGTCGACCCGGTTGTTTCGATTCAACTTCTGATAACCTCTTCTTCTCCAGTAACCCTTTAATCCTCTGTAAACCCGGGTTGATACTCCCTCCATTTTTTTGTCTGCTTGAGAAAAAGGATCGGATCGGATCAAATGGTAATATACATTAAAGAAGAATGATAGAGAGAGAAATATAGGTTGGAATTTGGAGGATGAAGTGCAATTAGCTTTGAATGTGAGTATAAAGAAATAATGGAAATTGGTGAGAGAGAAGATAAGAGTAATTAATATCTGTCGCAACTTTACCTGTATTTCACTCGGGATATTAATACCTTCTGACTCATGGTTGACGCAAAACTACTCCTTTTTATGTACCTATCGACCGTGGCGACGTGATAAGTATTTTTCGTTTTTAATAACAGTTTTTAAATTTTATTTCTTTTGCTAAAAAATTACTTTTACTAGGTAAGAATTGTGTTTGTATTTGTACAAAGCGAAAGAAAATTATACATATATATATTTGTGTTTCCTTCTCTATCGTGTCAAGATCTCGCTCGCTACTCTGATTCACCTCTCCAACTTTATACAAACACAAATGTATACATTGCATTTGTGTTTGTATAAAGCGAGACAAAATTATATATACAAATACATATATTTTCATCTTATATATTTATAATTAAACAAATACGGATATTCTCCTATCCAGTTTTCTTTTGTCTCTCTCTTTTCTCGTTTTATACGAAGTGCATATTATATAATTGATTCTTTTGTATATACCGAACAGATTATACAACTGCTTCTTTTGTAAACATAGTATATTATTGATTTTTTGATTAAGCATTTTCTTTACATCATTATTTTTTATTTGTATTATTTCTCTACATACTTTTAATTTTTTTTAAAAAAATATATCATTAATATCAGAATAATTATTATGTATTAAAAAAAGTTAAAGGTTAAGATAATATTTTTTTAAATTCTAATCATCTAGCGATCTTAATATTTTACATTAAATACAAAATTAAAAATATTTTTGTATGCTTCAATTGGTTCAAATCTATTTTGAAGTAAAATAGAGTAGTTTGAACTACTCTACATATACATAAAGTAATCAATTCTAAGCTAGCGTTTGACCATAGATTTCCAAATATTCTTAGCAAATATTATTTGGGTGAAAATTTGGCTGAAATTTCACTATGTGTTTGACCATATTATTTGGGCAATATGTTTCACTTTTTAAGAAAAATATTATTTGTACCGATAAGTTTTAAAAAACTATAAAAACTAACAATAAATTTATAGTACAAGTCAATTGGATCTTCGTTATAACAAATAATAAGTAGTGTCCATGACACTAGAGTCGTGAAATAGAAAAAGCACATTTTATCACCTTGAGTCGATTGTTCATCATTTTCGTCAATCACCATATCATCACTTTCATATTCAATGTCTATTTTGTCACTACTTTAGTGTTCACATAAAAAAAAATATGTAATACAACAAACTATTATAAAGGGTTTTTTTTGTAAAAATATAAAAATTTGATTTTAAATTTCAACTTTCAAAAGATCTCAAATAATGAGAATTTAGCCCAAATACTAACAAAAACCTCTAGTATTTGGGATATTTGCCATTCAAATTTATATTCATCTCATGTGTAATATCCTTAGTAAAAATCATTGCACTCGTAATGCATATATATTTTTAAAAAAACAAATTAACATATACAAGTAATTGTTTTTTAAAAATGAAAACCCCAAAAATATGAGGTCCCAAGCGATGACTTTAGTGGTCTAGAAATTACGACGACCCTCGATACAGAACGGGAAAACAAAAACATAAACTCCTTAAATGATACTAAGGGAAGAAATTAGAGTTTTTATGTCTTAATTTATGTGATGTCTTTTAAATTTTAAAATTTAAATAACTTATTTTGTTCTAATATTTGTATATGTTTTAAGAAATATTTTTTTAAAAAATTTATGAATTAAAAAATTTAAAAATTATATAAATTAACTTTTTTTTATATTAATATGATAAAAATATACGCTCAAATTAGCCTATCTTAGCTTTAGTAAAACCAATAATGACAAATAATTTAAGAGGGGGTGATTACTACTAAATAACTGAAAGGGAAGGAGGAGTAGAAAAACTTAACTTTATTAGCTGCTATAATGTATGGTCCCCATCTTCTTAATTAATAAACTATATACCAATAATTCCAAATTTTAAGTGATAATAATTGAGTAGGCACTGTAGATTGATTTGGAAATGGATGATGTAATGTTAAACTAACTTTATACTAAAATTAGTAGCATTGGTATGACTATATATATAACGACGCATGTAATATTATCTGTTATTTATATATTTATAACATTATCCCTTTCGTGTAGAAGGAAAATGACATTAATTGTAACTTTAAATTTATTGGGGGAAATCATAAATAGTTAGAGTCGTATTAGGAAAAAACTTCCCTCTTATTCATGTTTACGTAATATAAATACTTTCTCTTAGTTTATTATTTTGTTTTATATACATATTAAAAATTTTATAAGAAAGAAATATAATTTTATTAATTTACCTCTTGAAATACTAGTTGAAAAATTTATAAATAAATGTGAACATTTTAAAAAAGGAATTAATTGCAAGGGTTATATAAAGAAAATTTAATTAATGTTTTCTTGATTTAGTAAGGTGAACAACTAATACGGGACATACTAACAAATTATATTAGTATGATGATCAAACTATATATTATGAGATAGGGTAGTAGATAATTTGATACTCATTTGTACATAAAATTCTATATTTAATTGTGTTTAACAAACTATATTAGTATGATGATCAACCATATATATTATGAGATGGGGGAGTAGATAATTTGATACGTATTTGTACATAAAATTCTATCTCTTGTGTTTGATTAGTACTAGCTTTGTTAGTTAAAATTTTAAAATTTGTATATTCTAAAAATATTTTTTATCAAAAGTATTTCACTCTCTGTCTAGGTGGATATCTTCTAAAAATAGTTATTATATATTACATGATCAATTACTAAATCAGAATAGAATTAATTAAGTTTTTCCATTTAACCCTTTAGAATTAATAGCCTTTGAAACATGAACAATTCTCAAAACTAGCTATTGTTATATTCCATGTATATTTTTGTAAACTTATTTTTATGTGCATTGATAGGAATAAAAGACTAAATAGTAAAGCTAATTAATATATTAATAGTTTCTTAATTATTGATTTACGTAAAATAAAAAGTATCCATAGTATAATATTTGACATAGACGTTTTAAGTTTGAAATTCCTTGCCAGTAAAAGTAAGGAGTTGGCCTTTTCAGTCGAGTTCGTCGCATCAAACTTGACTAGAGTGAGTTAGCTCTATATGTGATTTGCAAGCTATTGACATCCTCACGTCATTTACTATTATTTAATCATTATAATCTGATTTATCTTGGTGTGTAAGTTGAATGCTAATAAATATTTTTCACAAAGCAAATTTCTTTATGATATATTTAATTTGATTCGGTTATTGCTAGAATTAATAGATCTAATCTCTTTTTTAATGTCAAATTATAGTGTAACGTGTATCTTTCCTTGTTCCAGATTAATAAGCATTATGAATTTTACATTGATTTATCAATTATATGAGGTTCATGAATTTGGGCCATCAACCTTGCATATACATGTAGTGGCTCGTTAACAATTAATGGCCCAATTGAATTTGATTGACAAATGAACAATTTCTATATTTAATCATATTTCTTCTATTATTATATGCAAATTAAGAAAAAATTGAAAAATATTCATGTGAAGAAGTACAAGTGCAAATATGGAAGATTTTTTTTTTTTTGAAAATTTCGTGAAAATCCTATAATTACTATCCTTTTAATACGTATTGTGTTAATTATTTATGTGTAATAATTTTTAAATCACATGAGATATTAACTGCAATAGGCAAATCTGTAGAAAGGATCATGTTATAGAATACTTTTGTTATACTATATCAGCAACCCTTTCGAGTTAAATAAAGAATTGAAGATTCATATTTCATTTCGTAAACAAGTTAAAATTTTTAATTTGTGACTTTTTACTTATAAGTCATAAGTTATAAGCCTATTCATACCGACAATCAAAAGTAATTGTAGAAGTTACTCTTAACTTTCACAAATTTTCTATATTGTTTATTCGCTTGCTTCATGATCCAATTAAGTACAATATATGTAGTTTGTTCGATATACTTTATCAATCATCAAAACTCATTAATTCGTGCAAATTAATTCGAGTACATCCTTTTATATATATATATATATATATATATATATATATATTGGTACACCTCTCCATACATTTGTCATTTGGATCCACACATCTACTGTGCCCTTTATTTTGTGCATGTTCCCTGCCGACAATATACCATTTACCATGAAATCCTTTCAATTCTCACTTGTACTAATATTCTTTTCTTTTGAGTTCTTGGAAGTTTCTCCCACCCATACTCCCAAACTATATAGGCAAATTAGTACACTCCGTTTATTTTTATTTGTTCATTATATTATTTTGATATGTATAATAATATTCATTCAGTTTATAAAATTAATAAATAACTTATTATTTTATTTTTTTTAATTTTTGCTATCAAATCAATATTTAGATGACTTATAATTAACGAGAGTTACATAATAAAAAATATTTTTTTATTTTTATTAATTGTTGAATTTGTCAAATTAAAAATGTTGAGAGAATCCCAATGGGTCAACTTTCATGCCAACCTGTATAGTATAAAGCATCTTTTGAGATAACAAAATCGATCCTATAAAGGGATTCCCAAACATTTTCATTACTACAATTTTGCAATTACAACTTTTTATTTCACAAATCTTAACATAAAATTAGTTCTTTTTTGTCATGATAAACACGAATGCTGAAAGGGCTCCAAATAGGGTAACCACTAAACCTGATACAATATGAAAAGTTTCGATTCGATAGTTTTTATTTATAAGAATATTATATCAAATTAATTTGTTATAGTCAGTATACTATCCGTGAACCAATGAAAAATTAGTGTTATAAAATATAATTGTATCTATTCCTCCACCTAATCACTTCACTGGAAAATCGCATGATAAAAATAACTTTTTACCGAAATATTAAAAAACTTCGTAGTTTTTTCATTGTGAAAACACAATATTTGAAACTAGGACGGTGATTTACAAAATTGCGTGCCCCTCAAGAGCGCCGTGCCTGCTGGAAATTCCACAAAAATTATATATATATATATATATACATATATACACCTTAATTCACTACTTAATTATATGTTAAAAATTGCAAATTCCCTCCGCCCTAATTTATATAATGTATGTAAATCATATTTTTAATCTAAAATAAGTTATATAAGTTAATGTGTTTATAAATGTTCTTAATAGATTTACATATTATGTCTGTCATTCAGCCATGAGCTCGTCGCATAGATTTGTCTAAAGCGATTTACATCTTATGTATAGTTTGTAAGCTATTACATATTAAGCGATAAAGTACTCATTCGAAAAATAGAAATTCAAAATTTATTTACTCAGCGTCTATAAATAACTTATCACATAAAACTTATCTAATATAATTTACATGTTGTTCGATGCAATTATTTTTCATATAAATTTTGTAGGTAGCGTATAAGATGCAACACTAGAAATAGTGCGGTCTTCAATAACATGCACTAGTCCATCAACCCCACACATGCACCCATTCTCTTCATATATATCCCCTACCTTTTCCATCAACTTATTGTATTTGTTACATTTCAACTACAACTTCTCAAAATGTTTGCTCCAAATTCTCAATTCCAATTTTTTCTTCTTCTTTTTTTCTCATTTTCACTAAACAATGTCCAAATTACTCAAGCCATGTCAACAATCACAGCAATTTCCAAAGACCAAATTGCTTGTGAAATGTGCACCACTTGTGAAAACCCTTGTCAACCAATTTTCCCTCCACCACCACCACCACCATCACCGTCACCTCCGCTTTTATGCCCTCCTCCGCCGTCACCACCACCACCACCACCACCGTCACCGCCTCCTCTACCACCGGTCAATTATTGTCCACCGCCACCTCCACCACCGGCACGACGTTCATGCCCGGAAGATTGCTCTCTACAACCTCGTTCACCACCTTATTCCATATATCCTTATTTTTCACCACCTTCAACTTACCCTAATAAATCCACTCGATACAAAAATCAACCTATCGTTACTTATCTTATTATTGCCATAGCATGTCTTTTTAAAACTTTTGGGCTAATGTAGTGTCATATCGTTAGTTTTAGGTCAAGTCTGCATAATTTTTCTTAAAATGTCTTGTTGTATTCCCATGATTATTTCTAATTGATTTTTAACATCAGACTTTGTTCGTACACTCAACATAAGTGAAAAAGAATCATAGTGATATGTATGACATTTAATGTTTGTTTACTTATAAATAATTATATGTAAGTTTCATGTTTAGACAATGTGAAGAGATCTAGCAAGAAGAAATTGAAGGGCAAGAAGTGGTGCATATAAAAAATGGTGTACCAAAATTGCCAAAAAACAAAGAATTAATGTGGATTCGAAGGACATCTCATATGCTTCTACAAGGGAAAGTAGGAATAGCCTTCTTTTGCACTTTAGGTAGTGGAATTCAATAAAGTGGCTCTAGTGTAATACAAGGGTCACATGCTTAGTTTTTATATCATTTATAATATTTTACTTAAAATTTACTTATTGTTGGATACTAATGTACTCATCTATTCTATAATGAAACATAAAATTGGTTTTATTTTCTTTTAAGTTCTTTTAGTTTCTTGTGATATATTTTTTATAGTTCGACTATATCAGATTCAAGCAAAATCTCTCACTTTAAATATAGTACTTGTCATCGCATGCATTTTAACTTTTTGGATTGATCATTGATAATAAATATAATGTTCATGTTTCGAAAGCTTCAATATTATTTATCATCACATTGGTTGCCAATCACACAAGAAGAAAAAAGTGGGAATATTATAATTCCAATAGTTTCTTCCACATTAAAATCAAATGATTATATAGATTATAGGGGTAATATTTTTGGTGTGATCTCGGAAAGTTGGAATAAAGACCATTTTTTAAAGGGTGACAAAAAAGCATCGTAGAATAATAGTAAAGTGACTAATATGCAATAAACATTTTAGATTTTCATCCTGATTTATTTTTATTCTGAATCTCGATTAATTTAAATTTGCATTGTATAAGATTTATTAAAAGGAGAGACTTTTCCTACTTAATTCTTTCCATTCTTAGGGCTCGTTTTATAGGCACCCCATTAAAAATACATAAATCATACTCATTTCATCACAATCTTTGATGGTAGTAGATTTTTCTTGTTTTTCTATGTTCTTTTAAACATCTTTTTAATATGAATTTGGTGAACTTTTATGAATGAATTATTTCTTATACCACAATATAATAGACTTGATTGGAAGTTACTAAATGTAGAATAAAATGTTCGAATGGATTGTTGACTTTGGTAATAAGACTTATTCAATATATTTGAGTTAATTGTGAACGTCCTGATTAATTCAAATTCATGTTTAAAATAAAACCGCGAGAAGGGAATTCATTGAAGGTAAGTAACAAAGAAAAAATATTAATGGTTTTTAATTTAAAAAAAGTAGGAGTATATTTTTTGAACAAAATAGAAAGAAAAACGATAGAAATCATATTCGAGTTGCTCCTTTATTCTTATTCCCATTTCATGGCAGTCAGTCTGAGAATGCTGATAAAAAGAAGGTGAAAAAGCTAACATTTTAGTGCTCTCTTTGATTAACACAGTTCAACTGACTTTAGTTATGCTGCTGTATTTAATATAGAAAATGTCGATATAATAGACATAATAAGGATCTACGATTAAAATTTCAATAATTATAACTATAATTTTATTCTACTATGGATGTCGTGATTTATATATTTTGTTTGTTTCGCTTGCGAATATACAAATATGACAAATATATAAAAATTTTGTTAAAATCTATTTGTATAGTTCGCTTGTCAATATATAAATAGAGCAATTTATTATGAATAGGATAAACATACACAAAATTCTGAATTTATACAATCAGAAATCAAATTATACAAATTTTAAATTTATACAAATCAAGCGAACAACAAGAATTGAAAAAACCGAAACCGTAAATTACAATTTTCAAGTTGTAGCTATAATACCTAATACAGGGCAAATATTTGCTATTTCGCAGAATTTTCCCGATTTAATAAGTAGTTTGGGAATTAATTAAATATTACTACAATACAGTGAAGAATAACACCATCCAAACAAGGTGTTAGGGGATTAGCTAGTTGGACCATATCAATTTTGGGCCTGCCTTACCAGTCTTGTCCAAACACCACAATTATTAATGCTTCTGAACCTGATATACATATTCTGATTGGTTCATATGGATAAATTTGTGGTTACAAAAACAATAAAATGGGCAGGACAAGAATGAGACAAGTGATGTAAGGGTTGTTCTTGAACTGAACAGATTTGGAGTCGATTGTATAAGGTGAAGGAGGGTTGTGAAAATAGAAAGGGAAATACGGTAAAATGGGGTTTGGAGGTGGTGGGATAGGGTATACAGAAGGGTCAGTCGGAGGATTGTAGTAATCACCATCACCAATGCCACCATCTCCGCCATTGTAAGGCGGTGATGGAGGCTGCGGGGAGTAACCTCCCGGAAAATAATGTGGTGGTGGAAAATTATAGTTAGATGATGGTGGTGGCAGTGACGGCGGAGAGAAGATAGGCTGACATGGGTTGTCACAGGAAGAACACATTGTGCAGGATATTCGGTCTGCCGTTGTCGACGTGGCGTGAGTTGATTGGACATTGCGAAGCAAAATAAGGGTACTGAAGACTAGAAATTGAAAATGCAGGGGAGCCATTTGTATGAAAACAGAGGAGATATGAAACAGGGGAAAATCAGGTTATGCACAAAAAGAAGAGTTGTTTATGGTAGTATACACAATAGAAGAGGACAATAATAGTGAGAGGCTAAGAAAAGGGGTAAGATAGATAATGAAGTGTATTGATGACCGCACCATTCCTAGAGTTTTATCTTCAAAGCCAGACCAGGTTAACCCTTTTCGCCGAAAAATTATGTTATATATAATAATCAAATTTTAATTTTATAAATAAAAATACATAAATTAACATTTTATAAAATAAGCAGAAGGATTAGTCTAACCGTACTTAGAAGCACTATATGAGATAGTGTGTTCCAGCCTCTTAAAACAAATTAAAAGCTTAATCTATTGGCTAGACACTCACAAACTCTATATGAGGTGGTTTGTTCAAACCTGCTAAGCCTATTTATAAAATTTTTACTATATGTGAAATTGTGTGTTCAAGCTTACTACCCTATTTATAAATCTTTTAGTATTATTGACACCCTTCCCCGACACCCCCTTAATGAAAATGAAAATCATCCCCTGACAACCTTTAATGAAAATTGTCCCCTACCCAAACCTAAAGAAAGCAAAACTTTTAGCACAAATCTAAATTTAATCAAACTAAAATGAAAATATTGAATATCAAATGATCGAAAAGAACAATATATCCTTAACATACTCGAGTCTCTAACATCTCAAAAAAGAAAAACGCTCATGTGTTCAAGCTTTGCTAGCCTATTTATAATTTTTTTTTACACTATTAAAATCCTTAATGAAAATCCTCCCCGACACCCCCCTTAATGAAAATGAAGATCATCCCCTGAAGCCTTTTAATAAAAATCGTCCCCTACCCAAAACTAAAGAATCGCGAGACTTTTTAGCACAAATCTAAATTTAATCAAATTAAAATGAAAATACGAAATACCAAATGATCGGAAAAAAACAATATATCCTTAACACCCTTGAGTCTTTGACATTTCAAAAAAGAAAACAAGACGAAATCATCATATAAAGCATAAATCACCAGTTTTCACCACGAAGCTTTCTAAGAATCCTACCTTGAGGTGAATCTGGATCACCTCTCATAGCATTCATTTTCCATATCTCCATAGCTCTCAAAAGAGCTTCTTCAGCCGTATCCAATTGTTCCGGCCTCCACACCATCATCCCGCCCCAAGGGGCGGGATACAGAGGAATGCCATCATCCGGAGGCGCATCAGTCGCTTGCGTGATTGGCTTTCTCGTATCAGCCATCTCCATTTCCGCTAATGGAGATGGCTTATGATGACTAAAATACTCTTTGTCATCTTCAAATTGATCTCCCCTGCTTTTCGATTCGTCAGGCCACGGGGAACCATCCAATCCAGCACAGCTAGCATTTTCTAATGAAGTTTTTTCGGTAGCATTACTAGATATCTGGCGTTTTTGTTGAGTTAAAGGGTCTATAGGTTGATTCACGCCTGTGCTTTCGATCTTTTGAGATGACCCGATTGGAGATTTGGGTGGCACAAATGCATCCTTGGCTTTACCAGACTTAATATTGGGTTGTTTCTTTTCATTTTCTGAAAATTTAACGGATTCCTCCAAGTCATCTCCCTGTAAATACAATATAATATGGTAACTCAATTATTCACACAAGCGACATTGTAAAATATAATCTGAATCTAACTCTCGCATATACTTCAAATTTATTGTTTATTTAAATAATCGTTTTCTTATATGCCATAACTGCTTGAATAAATTCAAAAGATATTCAGATTTTAAAATTTGAATTGTGGCAGGCCGAGAAATTCGGAACGGACAATTCGGCTGGCGGTTTCAGGTAAACATTACGTTGTTATACATTTCTTCTTCATTCAGAATTTGAAGTGATAAATTGCTCTTTGGCTGTGAGAGTCTCCAACTGGAAACCATAACTCCATTATTTTTCTGAGTTCATTTCATCTTCTATATGATTGTTGTTTTTACGTGTGTTTAGATGTAGAGAAAAGTGTTTCTGTTTATCTATTTTTTTTTTATCGTTGATTTCTCAATTTTCTTATTGGAGCAGTGAAAATTTCAAGCGAATTGATCACCGGAATCCACCTAGTGAGCATTGCGGAGACTCGGAAGATATGGAGTCATCATCCACGACAACTAAAAAATCATCTTCGTCTGCCAGGAAAAAGACGTTTGCGTCGAAGGTTCTGTTGTATTTTAAAAAAAGGTGCGAATGGAAAATGAAGAGTTGCGACTTTTACGAGATGTTGCGACTTTGATGAAAAGTTGTGACTTTTATGAAAAGTTGTGACTTTTATGGAAAGTTATGACTTTTATGAAAGGTGACGACCATTCTGAAAGATTGTGACTTTTCCAAAGGTTTGTGACCTTTCCGATAAGACACAATAAGAACCTTTTCGTACCACCCTTTGTCTTCTATAAATTGAGGAATTTCCTCGCATTTTAATATAGAATTCATTGACTTCTTCTTCAACTACTAAATCTAGTATTCTAAGTGTACTTTACTGCCATTGTGTGGTTCGCTGACACCGGAGTTTTTGGTATCTATACTCTGGTGATTGAAATCATTTTACCCTGGGAGGTCATATTCCAAATCAAACCTCGGATACTAGAGGGGAATAATTTCCTTAGGGGATACTGTGAATTCAGTGGACTTGATCTTTTTCCTATTAATTTTTTTTCAGATTCTGATACGTGTTTTACAAAATTTAGATTTGTAAATTAATTTCAGTTCTTCTATTCTTTTGTTCTTCACTGGTTCATTAAACTTGATAACTTCGTATTTCTGCAAAGTTTGTTGGGATCAGTAAGATTCTTTAGACACATATTAAACAACAATTCTTCTTTAAGAAAAATATTTCGTATATTTTTTTTAAAAAAATAATGTTTCTGATTCTAGTTTCGCTACTAGATTTAATTTTCTAGATGTGAAAATGTTCTTAAACTTTGTTTTTCTTACAAAGATATTCAAAGTTTTGTTCTAAGTTTGTCTGGAATACAAGATGAACAACAATCTTAAGGAAATTATTATACTGTTAGTATTTTTTTGTATTCTACTGATTCAGAGAATTTGATCATGGAAGTAGAAGATAAATGCATTACTTTTTCATAATTCGTTGCTTTGTTTAGCAAGTCGAAGTGAGAATGTAAACAGAAAATTTTTATTGTATTCTGTTTAAAAATTACCAGGTAACCTTCTTATTAAATTATCAAAGGAGGAAATAGTTTCTAAGAGTTATCATCTTCGTTTTTTTATTATGTGTATCTTTGGAAAAAGATCTGCAAACCATATGTCGTGGAATGAATTTTACTTCGCAAATATTGTTGCTTTTAAAATTCTTTAGTTTGCAAAAATGCGAGATGCATATTTTTGTTTGATAAAATAGTATGTCAAAAAGTTATAGTTGGAAGACTATTTGATAAGAAAAACATTTCTATGTGATAAAGAATATGTGTTATTCTGTTTGGAGGAGAAAAAAAAACTTTTGTAGTTTTGTACTCCGTAAGAAATGTTAGTGTGTGATTTTTGTAGACTAATAACTTTTGTGGTTTTATACTCTGGATAAATTGGACTATGCAAGTGATTTGAAGAATATGAAAACTTCACATAATAAGTCAATGTTGTACTTTTGAGTTTCTATAAACTTCAATGTATTATAGAAATAAATTGTATAATTTTTTTCCTTATTGTTAGTATTTAAAATACTAAGTGGTATGTCTATTTATGATAAAGGAAAAATACCAGTGAATTAGAATTTGTGATTTTATATTTCTATGGAATGAACTTTGACATTGTGTAAACATTGCCAAAGAGAATTGCAGCACTATAATTCTTTCGTAGAATAATGTTTTCAACATTAAAATATGTGAAAAAACTATTTTTAAATACTTGAAAAATATTTTGGAGATCACATTTGAAACGTGGGGGTTATTTGATTATGATTAGACTTGGTGTCTAATTTAACTTTGGAGCAAAATATATGAAATTTAATGATACTTTTGTATTATGTTACACCCACAAAATTCTTGTAGTATATTTGGTATTGTGGTTGTTGAGTTTCTCTATTACTAGTATATAGTGTGACTAGTATGAAACATCCAAATTATATATATACTTGTTCAAAATAATTGTGTTCTTTTATGAGAAAAAAAAACTTAAAATATTGTGATTTTTCATGAAAAGATATGTCTATTATAATAAAAATATTTGCATAGACATGAATATTGGTGAATAGTCATTTGTTATGTTTTTGTAAATAACATTTGGACTATATTGTCTTTATTGAACCCGATGAAACTTTGTTCATGGGTAGTTCTACAACAATCATATTGAAAGTTATGGAAATTTCCTTCTAAAAAGGACATTTGACAATCTAAACAATATTTGTATCACACAAAATTGTAAGAAATATGAACAAAATATTAGTGAGGAAAAAGCTACCTCGCGAAGAGATTTTCAAACTCAATATTTTTATTTGTTCTTACTTGCTTGAGTCAATGTTTGTGACATGAATACTTGGGTCATGTCAATTACAAAACCTTGTAACGAAAACTGATCAACTTAGAAGTTTTGCCTAACTTTTAGTGCAATAAATAAAAATGTCAGGTTTTTTTGAAATCTAAGTATGTTGAGCATTCTTATAAATCCATTGAAAGGAATTCTAATCCCTTAGAATTGATTTACACTGACATTTATGATATGAAGTTAACACCATCTCATGGTGGGAAAAAGTATTTGTTACTTTTATTGAGAATTGCATTAGAAATGACTATGTCTATTTGCTAAATGGTAAGGATGAAGCAATAGAAATGTCTAGATAATATAATATCAAAGTTGAAAATCAGTGTGAAAAAATATATAAGAAGTGATTAGAATGGAGAGTATAAATCTCATTGTGCAGAAATATGTTTGTAAAATGAAAAAATCAAATGTTGAAAAAAATGATGGATGCATTATTTATAAGTTTGGGTTTACACAAAACTTGTGTGGAGGAACTATCCTTACTGCAAAAGGGATCAACAAAAAGTTTTGTCCTTTTAGAAAAAAAGCGATTTTGTTTGATCAGAATACAATCTTTTCCATGTGAGAAATGGAAAGAAAGGAAATCCAACTTGAAATATTTCAAAGTGTGGGGGTATCTAGTCAAAGTCCAAGATCCTATTCCTAAAAGAATTAAAATAGGACCTATGACTGTAGACTGTAAAATTAGACTTGAGTAGTCTAAAGAAGGGTCTAAAAGGTCTAGGAAATGAAAAGGATAATTTACTTAATAAAGTGATTCAGAGGCTTAGTAAAATGTTAAACAACATTTACTTTCTTCGAATATGATTTTGTAATATTTTATGTGTCTTCTGTAGACTCATCCTTTGGAAAGATGGTGTCAATAAACAATATTGAAAGTTGATTGATCTTCTTCAAGAAAATAAATCTTTGGGTTCAAAATGAATCTTTAGAAGGAAAAATAACAGTTGATGGAACTGTTGAAAAATATAAAGCAAGATTTTGATCATCAATAGAGACACCAATGACATAAATACTACTAAACGTATGCTATAAATCAAGTGGAATGAAAATTATTGGAGTTGCTAATGCGATCTTAGATATAAGAATTCGTAGAACTCCATAATGTTTAGCATTTTCACGGTCTCATTGCATTGAAAAGGTACTTAACTAGTTCAAATATTTGAATATCAATATTGTCAAGTGTCCAATAAATGTGAACTTTGCATTTCAAAAGAGTGAAAACAAAAATGACTCACAATTGGATTGTGCAAGATTTTTGGGAAGCATGATGTATATCATATTAGTGTGTGCGACCAGATATAGCATTTGCTATTTTAAACTGAGTCCGTTCAGAAGTGATCCCAAATAAATTCATAAGATGACAATAAATAGAGTTTTGGAGTATTTAAAATAATACTTAAAACTATGTCTTGCATTTTAACAATATCCAACAATATTGAAAGATATAGTGATGCAAATTGTATCATCGGAAGAATGAAGTAAAATTCACGAGTGGATATGTATTTACTATTGTTAGAGGAGCAGTCTCTTAAAAATATTTTAAAAGAGACATGTATCGCTAGCTCTACAATGATCTTTGAGCTAGGTGCTCTAGATAAGGTCGGTGAATAAGTTAAAGGACTCCGGAATTTCTTGATAGATATTCTATTTTGGATCAAATCATTTTTGGATCAAATCATTGGCATTAGTACATACACTTTCACAGTCAAGATGCAATAGGTAGGGCATGGAGCATGGCGTATAACAGAAAGTCTCGTCATATACGACATAGACATGATACTGTTAGAAAACTACTCTCTAGTGGAATTATCAGAATTGACTATGTAAAGTCAAAGGATAATGTGCCGGATCCACTTACAAAAAGGCCTAACTAGAGAGAAAGTTAAAAGATCATCTAAGGGAATGAATTTACGGCTTACGACAAGTAATCATGGCGGTAACTCTATCTAGCAGACTGGAGATCGCAAGAGCTAGATTCAAGGAGAAAAACAAACTTGTGAATGACGGTTCGACATTGTCAATAAACTCAATTCATTCTCATGATGAAGACAATGCTCAGGGACAAGGATACAACATTAAGGCTTGTTAATGAGTTAATAAAGCTTAATGGTTTTAATGATTTTTTAAGTTTGGCAGAGTTGACCAAATAGTGTATCTACGCGATAACACGGTTAGAAATCACCTATTTGAGTGTGAAATGTAAGCCGCTTCAAAGAAGATGATTGTCAATAGCCCATCTCTCTATACACTCATGAAAGTTTCAGAAGGTGTTCATGGCTAAAACGAACACAACCGTAAGAACCATAAATGGTAAAGGGTTAATTGTGTGACATATGGTTGTCTAGGTATACACCAAAATTCGACGGTTCAAAGATATCGCATCTACCAATTGACCGAGTATATCCGACATATGTTCACTACGAAAAGTCCAAGAGAAAACCTACTTATCCAGATGCAATTAATTCTTGCTTGTAAAGTACAAGTACTTGTCCGTTTCTTTGTCTTCAAGTCATTCCCCATTCATGCGGGGGATTGTTGTATTTTAAAAAAAGGTGTGAATGGAAAATGAAGAGTTGCGACTTTTATGAAGAGTTGTGACTTTTATGAAATGTTGCTGACTTTGATGAAAAGTTGTGACTTTTATAGAAAGTTATGACTTTTATGAAAGGTGACGACCATTCTGAAAGATTGTGACTTTTCCAAAGGTTTGTGACCTTTTCGCAATAAGAACCTTTTCGTACCACCCTTTGTCTTCTATAAATTGAGGGATTTCCTCTCATTTTAATATAGAATTCATTGACTTCTTCTTCAACTACTAAATCTAGTATTCTAAGTGTACTTTACTGCCATTGTGTAGTTCGCTGACACCGGAGTTTTTGGTATCTATACTCTGGTGATTGAGATCATTTTACCTAAAAGCTCATATTCCAAATCAAAGCTCGGATACTAGAGGGGAATAATTTCCTTAAGGGAACACTGTGAATTCAGTGGACTTGATCTTTTTCCTATTAAATTTTTTTCAGATTCTGGTACGTGTTTTACAAAATTTAGATTTGTAAATTAATTTTAGTTCTTCTATTCTTTTGTTCTTCACTGATTCATTAAACTTGGTAACTTCGTGTTTCTGCAAAGTTTGTTGGAATCAGTAAGATTCTTTAGACACATATTAAACAACAATTCATTCTTAAAGAAAAATATTTCGTATATTTTTTTAAAAAAAATATGTTTCTGATTCCAGTTTCGCTACTAGTTTTAATTTTCTAGATGTGAAAATGTTCTTAAACTTTGTTTTCTTACAAAATATTCAAAATTTTGTTCTAAGTTTATCTGAAATACAAGATGAACAACAGGTTCCACCAGAAGCGGAGATGGAAGAATTCTTTTCAGCAGCGGAAAAGCGCGAACAAAAAAGATTCGCAGAAAAGTAAGTGCTAAAATCTTGCCTGCGCAGGATAAGTAAACATACACTGCACAGGCTCATTTTAGTGTGACCCAAAAAAAGGAAATATGCTAGTAATGATTTCCTTGTAATGGTGGTTGCAGGTACAATTACGATATCGTGAAGGACGCCCCGTTTGAAGAATAAATGAATGAAGAAAAATAGAGATTTGCTGAAGGGGCGGACTCTGATCCTCTTAAATTCTTTTCATTTCTAGTTAAAAATAGTGCCAATGATCATTTTAAGTGGATTGATTTATGCCTTAGGCAAACTGAATCGTAATTATTTAATAACTTTAACCTATATTAATTGCCAGATTCAACAAATATATTAGATAGACCAAAAAAAAATTACTTACTTCAAGAGGTCCAGAATGGATGGCAGGATCAGCTGTTCGACCTCCAGTAGAAGAGGAAAATGATTTGTATTTTTGAGATTGTGCCAATAACAGTCGATGAAGTTTTGTAGATGAAGAAATTGCCAATCTTGTTTGCATTTTTGAGCTTTCTTTTTATAATATACTTACGCAAACGTTACAAATTTGGTTAATAATTGCATTACAAATTTGGTGAGGTTATTATATAAAAGCAACACTAGAAGAACTTGTCACTTGTGGGCATTTAGATAACGTGTCAATTTATGTATACGTGGCTAGAGTTTTCTAGTGACTCCTCCACCCTTCTCTTTCGTGTCAAATTCTACACTTTTTCTCATCCAGAATTGCCTAGAAACGATTTTTATTTTTTATTTTTGGGTCAAATAGTTGTAGTTACAATATTATGATTTTACTACTTTTATTAATTAAGGATTTGTCAAGGTACTCCCTTCGATAAAATTTAATATTATCAATGTTTAATCGTAAATTTTTAAATATTTTTTGTAATTACAAGTTGTGTTTGGCAAAAATATAGTATTTGGAAAAAGAATAAGATTTATGTCCGTAGATTTTAAATTTTTTTATAAAGCTAATTAAATTTATATTACAAGTCAATTGGATTTTCGTTACAACAAATAACTAGTAATGTTTATAACGCTGGAGTAATGTGGTAGTTTAGAATGAGTGCAACAAACATTATTTTATGATTTTATTATCATGAGCCGATTGTTCATCGTTTTCATCAACAATCATATTATCACTTTCATATTCATTAAATATTTCATTACTATTTTGGTGTTCACGTAAAAATTATGTAATACAGCTATTATATGGGATGTTTTTACAAAAGACAAAAGTATGATATAAAATTACAATTTTTGAAAAATCCTAAATAATGAAATTTAGTTAAATATCTAAAAAAACTAGTACTTAAAAATTTAAAATATTTATCAAATAACAAATTATATAGAAGAACACTATTTATAAAAAAGAAATTCAAATATTATTTAAAGAATCATGACCAAACGGCTCTTAATAGTAATATTTTCGACTCTTTATCATTAAACTTTTTTATTTCATTCGAGTTAAATTATAACAGATTATTATTATTATTATTATATTGCTACATTATTAAGCTTCTCAACACAATTTCAATGACCATAAGCTATAGACGATCATAATCACCGATTACTATCGATCATTAGTTTAAGATTCTCTATAAATTATCATCTTTGAACTTTTTAAGTGCAATTCATAAAAAACTAGTTAAACAATCAATCCCAATATTAGAAAGGAGTAAAAGTAAAATTCTCTCTTTCTTCACACTTTTCCACCATCCAAAAAGCCATGCAACTTTTTTTCTTCATTATTTCTTCATCTCTTCTCTTAATTTATTAATTTATCCCTTTAGTTTTGCCTATACCCCCAAACAAAATATGCTGACAATGACAATAAATGTGATGATAGTAACGAAAATTAATGTTTCTTGGCACCCTCTTACGGCTGCCAACTCACAATTGACACCAACCAAAAATTATATGCTCCATATATTTTTTTAAAAAAAATAAATTAATTTAATTTAAAATGAATTTTTCCCTCGAGTCGAGAAATTAATGGAGTCTGCATAGATCCTCCTCAAAATTCAAAACATTACTACATTAGCAATTACAACTCAAATTGAAAAAAGAAAAAACTCTTGGATCAAAATGGGTCAATTAATTAGTAAAAAAGTTACAATGAGTTTCTGCAGCAATTAGAAATCAAAAGGGTTAACATAGTAATTTTCCAACAGATCCACAAGAAAGAGCCATCAATAATATCGCCGCTTGTTCTTCTTCTCTTAATTTTCCTCCAAATCCCATCAATTTACCGATTTCTATACTCTTTTTCTCTATTCTCCTCTTCTTCTCAACACCCAAAATCTGTCTCCTCTTCTTATTATACTTTATCCCACATGCGTTACACAATGACTAAAACACAATAAATAAAAATAAATTAAATTTATGTCCCCCGTTCATCGAAATAATAATCGATTGATCTAAGTTTATTTTTTACCTTGGGACCTGATGGACCACTTCTCCAAAGAGGCGTTGTTGTGGTATGACAATAACTGCATGATTTCATTGCTTCTGCTTCTTTTGATCTCTATATATCAAAAAAAAAAAAAGATTGAGATCAGTGTAAATTAGAAAGTAGAAATAAATAAAAGTAAGGCTTTCATTAGCGATTCACCTTTACTTCCTTCAGATCCATCGCTATAAATGTTAATTAAAATCACAGAGTTTGTTTGTTTGTTTGGTAGTAACTTTTAAACGTGCTAAATTGCAAGGCGGGAGAAAGAGTTTTAGTGTTGATGTGGCTAAAAGAGATGCACAATTTGAACTAGGATTAATAATAGGGTGAAATGAATAGAGAAAATAAGGGGATAGGGAAGCTAAAACGGCGATATAGAGTGTGTTTGATAAGATGGAAAGTATTTTTTACATTAACTCATTGTTTTAATTTTTTTTTCTTCAAAAATTAAGAAAAATATTTTTTAAAACTCTCCTCTAATTTTAAATTAAATTTTTCTTAGAAAAATAATATTTTTTAAAAAAAAAATTTAACTTTAATTTTTTTTTTTACCTGATCCCTTACCTCCACCCATCCATCACTGACCAGCCCCGCACTCCACCCCAACCCCCCTCCCAAAAAATAATTTTATTTTATAAAATACTATAAAGTTCAAATTTTTATTTTTTCACTCCTATCCCTTTCCTCCTGCCCCACCACACCAACCTTAATAAAAATTGGTTTTAAAAAATATTTTTTATTTCATAAATTATTTTCTATTCTAGTAAAAATAAAAGACGTCTCTCAAAAATATTTTTCATTCATATATCAAACATTAAAAATTATTTTCAAAAAATATTTTGTACTCATCAACCAAACATGAGAAGATAAGTATAAATCTACTTCTTTTTTCAGAAAAAAACATTTTTCATGGAAAAATATTTTCTTCGTACCAAACACACCCATGATATTTTGTGGACACGATATCATACTTAAATTTAGATTACTGATTTGTAGAAAATTACATTAATACCCTTGTGATTCAAATAGTTTTCAGATGAGTCAGAATAATCTCCAGCCGTTGATATTCTTATGATATGATTTTTAAGGGTTGTGATGGGATTCCAACAAAAAGCAAAACCATGGGCGTGTATTACTATAAGTTCGAAAGTTTCTGGGTGTCGCTATCGAATGGAAAGTGGCAGGGCTAAAAGTGTAAGATTTTTTTGGGTAAACGACATTTATTGAGTTGAAGTGAATTTTTATTTAGTTTTTAATTTAATTATATTTGTTTTTGTTAAAGCCCGATCTGATCTCATTAACTTTTAGGATTTGCATGTAGCTTTTCTTTAAATTGAGAGAAAATTCAATGACGCCCATTGTTTTAAATAAAGAACAGTGAAAAATGCATTTTTGAGCTTTGAATTTTCATATTAGAGTCTTAAGTTTGGAATCTCTTGATAATATAAGTAAGAGATTTGTCTTTTGGGTCGAGCTTGTTGCATCGAATTTGCCTAATGTTGGTTACCTCTATTCTATGTGAATTGTAATTTATTGCATAGGAACTAAGGTTTTACCTTGTGCGCAATCAAGAAATAGCGACTACAAGTTTCCCTTGTCATTAAAAAAAAAAAGCACCAACTAATTAGCGCGAGTTGAATCGTTCTCTTATATAGATTGGAGAAGCCAAAAAAAAAATCAAATTTGTAGGAGTAATTTAATTAACACCGAAATTTGTAAAAAAAAGATTAAAGGGAAAACGGATAAATTTGATGTGAATACTTAATTGGGATGTTCATTTTTATAAAGAGGAAGAAAAGAAATTCAATTAATAAGCTCAAAAGTCGAAAGTTTCGAAATAATTATCTCAATTAATGTATAATTGATCTTAGATTTCGATATTTTTAATTCTAAGTTCTTAAATAAGAAAATCAATCTGAATTGTCGAAATATCCGCCCCTAATAACAACAATAGACAATATTATCAAAGCAAACTTATTACATACCCTTGCTCATAACTAAACAGATACAATCAAACCATGCATAGCTATTGAAAACATATATAGTTATTAGGACATGATAATTAAGAGAAAATGCAAATATTTGGCTTATTCTTCACCATTTTAACTTGCCTTTATGTTTTTGGGCCAAAACATTGAAAATATGGGCCAGAAAGGCAAAAACAGTGGCTATAAAGCACATAAGACATGACAATGCAAATAATGCCCAATCCTTAAATGTTTTCTTGACAAGTTGGGCTCTGTCTGAACTAAGTAATGATCTGTAAACAGCTTCAGTAACAGAATATGCTGAGATTGGATCATATTCATCTGCTAATAATCCATATTCTGTTACACAAACTATATCATATATTCCATTAGTCTCTGAGGCACCAAGATGTTTGCATATTTTCAATCGACAATCGATTCGATCCTCAGTTGATAACTTGTCTCCATGAGTTAAAATCAATATGGGGTTCCCATCTGCAATACGAATAACAAAATGAATATCTGAGTTTTAACTTCTATATACTACTGATACTTTATTTTAAAAAAGACTTTTGTTTTATTACTATAACAAGTGGAAATAGAGATCTAAGAATTCAAGAGCGTAACAAGTTATTTTTATCTGATATTTAGGGTCATTTGGTTAGGAACAAGTTATTTCAGGATTAATTATCCCACCATGTATATGAGATAACTTATCACATCACTATGATATAAATGGACTATAACTCACCCCTTTCATTCCATTAAAAAAAAATTATTTATTGAGGATTGAGCAATATTAAAATGACTACTTATTTAATGTCAAGAGCATAGTTGAAATCAAATACTAGTTCTAAACTTTGATCTTAAATTTATTGGGACGTGACATCTTTTAAGCTGAAGCGACAGTTAAAATAGAACAGATAGGATACCTGAATAAATGAGTGAAGATGTGTAATAGAGTAACGAGAGAAAATTAATAATTAAAACTCACTAGATTTGTTGAGTGAAGATGAGCAATAAAGTTGCTTCAATGCATCCAATGGCTTAAAATCATCAAGTTTGAGAGACTTGTATATTTCATAAGCATTAACCACCACCATAACACAATTGACACTTCTCTTTATGAACATTGAAGAAGAAGCATCCT